CCGGTGACACCAGAGCACAGAGTGCTGTCCTCTGAAGATGCCGGCCACAGAGACTGGTGAAACGTTAGGAAGAACAACCTTCAGAACACGGCCAAAGAGCCCGAAAAACCCACAACAACCATTAGATCCCGGCCATGAAAGCCTTCACAGATACAAATTATTTTTAAGTCACAAACATAAGCTAAGAGGACACATTCATTCTTCTTCTTCTTCTTTTTTTTAACAGGAAGCAACAGGACATGACAGGTACTTGGAAAAAGTCATTTTAAAACTACAATTCCCAGAATCACACAGCCAGCATGGCCAGAATGCTGACTTAAGGAATGTGAGACATAGCTTGAAAAGTAACTTTATCAAGACCCAAGTCTTATGTAAAAACATTCTTGCTGTTCAAACCCTGTCCAAATGATTTAATTTCCAATATTCCAAATTCTAACGCAAGAAAAATCGAATTCACCTCCTAACAGAGGCCTATGTGTGTGCACACACTTCATTGCCATCTGTAATACTTGTGTGATTTCCAAAAGCAATACAGCTGACATTCAAACTATTTTCTTTCTTCTCTCTCTGACCCCCAGCCTTCTTACCAGCATAAGCAAGTCGGACAATCGTGGCTTCATCCTGGGCCAAGTGGGCAATGCCTGGCAAGATGTACTCCGGATAGATGTTGATGTCATTGCGTGGCACCTCTTTGACAAGAGCAAGAACTTTAGTGAGTGTCCTAACAGCTTCCGCCCTCACTCTGGGCACAGAGTCACTGCTGAAATGCAAGAGATACGGTGTGATACGATCAAGCAGGATTTCCACACTTAACCTGGGTGCCAGCTGGAGAATCAACTCCAAGGCAGCTAGCTTTGAATCACAGTATTTGAGAGTCTGCAGGCATGAAGTTATTACTGAAACCAAAATGACCAGCCCGTTCTCCTTTGTCTCTCCCTCGGCTTTTTCTGTCTGGTCATGCCCACAGAGATTGTGAATGATATTGTCCAGATCTTTACGAATAACCAGGATGCGCTCATCTGCAGATACAAAGGTCTCCTTGGCAAACTGCGCCATATAAGGCTGGAGGAAAGTGTAAAATATTTCAGGGAAAGCATTATTACGCTGTTGTTTCAAGTAGTCTTCAGCTGATAAACGTTTTTCTGGGTCACAATGGATCATTTGGATAACCTTCAAATAGAAGAGGGCAAGAAGAACAGGGTAAAGGGAGTGGGGGGAGGTACAGAAACAGTCATGTTTATTTATTGTTGGGTAGATACGGTAAACACAATAATAAGCTAACATAAAGACAGCAAAATTATTTACCAGTTCTCTAATACTTCGGTCTTCAATTTTCTTCAAGACTTGCTCTGGGGCAAAGAGACCATTTCTGTATGCCAAAAGCTGTGATAAGTCAAACAGGGGTACACCTTCTGTAAACAGCTCTGCAATTACGCAACCTGGAAAATACAAAACAAGTGCCTAAGTATGAATTATATACCTTTTATTGTGTCTATTCATTACCAAACCTGCTGGATAACTTAGTGGTTTAGGTATCTGACAGTGTAGCCTGAGGTTGGGAGTTCGATTCCCCACTGTGCCTCTTTGACAGGGGCTGGACTCGATGATCCACAGGGTTCCTTCCAGTTCTGCAGTTCTAAGATTTATATATATGAACAAATACCAATAGAACTGTAAGAGACTGCATGGTTGCTTATGGATGTCTATGCAATTACACTGTTAGCATGTCAGAAGCCTGTGTCTCTGCACTTTAGCCTCACTTACAGAAGTTTTGCTATACATTGGAGTATCATTCTCTGCCTTATCAAAGATTCCTCCATATCTAAGAGACAAGCAGAAGAATCATATGTCACAGCTTGCACTCGGCTGTGTCCCTTTGGAATGCAGGTGGAAATGTAACAAGTTTGAATTTTCCTGATATGATTTCTACTCAGAGAAAAAAATGACACATCAGAGAGATGGTTAGGCTAGAAACTTCTCTATGACATATTCTCTTTTTTATGTGGAGTATTTTTTTAAAAATTGCATGGCCACATTCAATCCGTCTCCAACTGCAGTGGAACAATGACCATGTGAACTTCCTAGATCTGTCACTTTATGACAGTGTCATTCCTTTGAAAGCTCCAGAGATATTCTCTTTCCCCACACATGTAGTTCAAGTCTTCAGGTTCAGTGCAGAACAGAAAACTAACAAAGAATTAGTGAGGAGGCTTATGAAAACTGTAGTGTGAAATGTAGCTTGAGAACACATTGTTCCTTAATCAGGAGCTTTAAAAAGGAACAAATTGGAGATGTGGGGAGAACTATAAACCATGTATAACCCTTGAAAGTCACTATTTTGGACTATAATTTTGAGAATCTCCCAACTAATATGGCCAGCAGCCGTGCTAGCTGGGGGATTCCAAGAATTATGGTATTCCAAGAATCATGGCCACTGGTCCCAACACCTGCTGGCAAATAGAAGGGGAAGATATGGAGGTAGTGACAGATTTTACTTTCTTGGACTCCATGATTACTGCAGATGGTGAGAGCAGCCCCGAAATTAAAAGACACCTGCTTCTTGGGAGGAAAGTGATGACAAACCTCGACAGCATCTTAAAAAGCAGAGACATCACCTTGACAACAAAGGTCCTTGTCAAAGCTATGGTTTTTCCTGTAGTGATGTATGGAACTGAGAGCTGGGCCATAAAAAAAAGCTGACCACCAAAGAATTGATGCTTTTGAATGGTGGTGCTGGAGGAGACTCTTGAGAGTTTCCTGGACTGCAAGGAGGACAAACCTATCCATTCTAAAGGAAATCAACCCGGAGTGCTCACTGGAAGGATAGATCCTGAAGCTGAGGCTCCAATACTTTGGCCATCTCATGAGAAGACTCCCCGGAGAAGATGCTGATGTTAGGAAAGTGTGAAGGCAGGAGGAGAAGGGGACGACAGAGGATGAGATGGTTGGACAGTGTCAGCGAAGCTACCAGCTCCGGGAGACAGTGGAAGACAGGAGGGCCTGGCGTGCTCTGCTCCATGGGGTCACAAAGAGTTGGACATGACTAAACGATTAAACAACACAACATTTCTATACTTAAGTGCTTTCATCTTTAAATACTATGTTTCAATTATGTAAGCCACCCTGTGTCCTTTTTAAGGGGAAAAGCGGGATAAAATATAATTAATGAAATATAAATGCACTGTATAATTAATTAAATTTTCATTGCTGTCCATGTATGATATACTCTCAGAAACCATAACCTCAACCTACAGGGAGAAATAAATGCAAGAAATCTGATCCAAAATTTTGAGTTTAAGACAATCAGTAGCTCAAAACATTTTAGCCAGAACTGCATGCTTAAATTGTCCTGACTCTGAACTAGGTTTTCAATCTGAGGGGAAAGTGTATAACATGCTCCTTCATCCTTATTTGACAAGTTTCTATGCTCACTGAAGAGATTTTTTATTTATTTATTTATTTTACATACAGAGCTTTCAGAGGCACATTCTTCAACAAATATTCTTAAGAAGTACAACTGCAGAGAGATTCCCTAACATTAGATTTCTAGTATTCTCAAAGGTGTATCAACAAAGCAAACTAGACATCATGCTTAATCAACCACTGGATGAATTAAGAATTCATATGTTTTCCATTATGTTACAGGCATACAGACCAAAAGCAGGGAACTTTTGTGCCCTCCTGCCCCAACGTTTTGACCTACAACTACAATCAGTCTCACCCAATATGGCTAACAGGTAACAGATTGTGAAAAACTATAGGCCAAAACACCTGGAGAATCAAAGGTTCCCTAACCTTATATATAGATATTATTAAGTTACTCTAGAGTACAATTTGTATAGCTGTATTTTGGATCCTACATAAAAGATGAAGTGAACTCAATGGTGGTTTCAGCAGATTCCAAGATGAAACAAAAAATTATTTTCTCATCTAGAGATTCAAACACTGATTTTCAAAAGTCATGAAAAACTCACCACCAATTTCTCATGAAAGCATAGCCCAGACTATTCATCAGTTTTATTCAATCATGTCTACGTACGTACCTGCAGAAAAGATATCCATTGCACGTTTCAGCTCCCCTCTGCTTCGTTGATTACTGTTGGCTAGGTCCACCAGGGGAGTGGAAGGATCTCTCATGTTCTCCAACTCAGTGGCAAACATGCTGCCATCAACAAACCGCTCTGGAGCAATGTAACATGTCCTCCTTCGTGATGTATCAAAAAAATAATTGAAATCTGCAGGGTTGTCCTCAGGAAGGTAGGTTGGTTTAAAACTTGCAAAATCTGTAAGAAGAACCCAGTTCCAGCTTGTCACCATGACATTTTCAGTTTTGATGTCCCCATGACGGACCCCGGACCTATGTGCTTGGTCCACTGCAGTCAAGATTTGGAAGGCTATCCACCTTTTTTCAATGTTGTTTAAGAAAGGCCGAGTACTAATCCGGTCATAGAGATTATCCCGAACGTATTGCCTGAACAGCATTGCTGCTTTTTCAGACAATGTGGCTTTCTGAAATGGCAGACAGTTTTGTGCCGAATGCAGCCTTATTTTGAGTTCTTCCAGCTCCTGCTTGTAACTAGTCAATGGTAGAGTTGGATCTTGAATGGCAAACACTTTGACAACCACTAGACCTTCTCGGTGCTTAGCTCGGGCAACTTTAAAAAAGCGAGTACTGCCCAGGCTTTTATCATATTCAAAGTCATGGATGTCTGAGAAATAGCTGTCCACAGAAAGAATCTGAGAAGGTGCAATACCAGCCAGCTGGTTCCCCATGATAGCACCTTTCCTTTGATATCACAACGCCACCTAAACAAGAAAAAAATATTTGTTCATTTCAAACATAGTTTTGGTTGCCGCTTTAAAATGACACGTAATATACCATTCCATTTGAAGCACAGAAAAGATTTCCATAAATGGTTGTACTTTTCAGAAAGAACTATTGACTGAAATCCTGTTTTGTATGTCATGCTGCTTAATGATGATGACATCCAAAGGCCCCTATGGAATCTTCATGTATGTAATCTTCTGTAATGAAAGACTTCACCCCAATCCTGTAGCCCACAAAGGCTTCCCAACAATGAAAGGGGTTCCTTGTGATCCTCAGGACCAGTGGGGGAAGGGGAATAAGAGACACTTTATTCCCAGAAAATTGCTGTGCCTGATTAGCATCACCATACATGAGGTAACTTGTGGAACAGAATTTCAACTAACATTTTGCTTAGTTTAGCCTTCTTTTATTGATAGTAAACCAAGTTGAGTTTTGTAATATGCTCTAAAAGTGATAGCTTACTGTAAGGAAAATAAATGTAGATTGAGACTGGTAGTGAAATTCAGCACAAGTCGCCTTTGCTTAAACTTCAAGTTGTGGCTCATTACATTAATCTCTATCACAGAGGTGGTCAACTTGAGGCCCTACAACAAGAGGAGGGTACTCTCAGTGGGCATGCAGATCCAATATTTTGTTCAGTCACCTCAGCCTACATTGGGTTTGTTTTTCTCCTGTTTTCATTTTTTCCATCACTTTTTATTTTTCATTTTGACCCCCCAGTCCCACACCCCCCCCTTTAGCTGCTGCTGCTGCTACTACTATTACTATCATCACCATTTTTAAACCTAGGGATCCTGTGATGGCTGCAGATATAGCTTGAGGGAGCACACTACTGTGCTACAAGATACCACTGGGCTGTAGCTCATACTCTCTGACCATTCACGGTAGATATTATTGTTGAACAGTCTGGAGAGCTATAACTGGCATTTCATGACAACTTCAAAGCAGCCAACATTTAAGAAAAAAGCTCATCCAAACAATCATTTCTAGATTCATACTCTGATATTTCAATGTACACAAAGTACTCGATGTAGCTTGCAAGAGAATGAAAACAACAAAATCATGCATAAATTAGTTGAAAGACTCTTTGGTGCTAAAGGGGGGGAGCAAAATAAAAGGCATTACTGTTCTCATTCACAGTGTTTGGATGTTTCTTTACATGACACAAACCCTTTCCATTTGAAATGCACTCAATCAATAAAATTATATAAACTGTAACTGTTGTTTGGCCTGACATTAAACCCTATTTATTAACTTCTTAGATATTAACTTGCCAGTTAGAGGCACATGGTTTAAAAGCTATATTACAGCAAATAACTGAGATACATAAACTGGAATTGGTCCTGTAAAATTATTTTTTGTTGTTTTCATGTTCTTTCAATAAAGTTAAAACAAAAGAAAAAAGAAAAAGATAGAACTGCTCCTGCTTGTGCCTTTAATAAATTACAGTCCCTGATCTGAGCACTCCTTCTCCCTTTTCTTTCCTGTTGAACACCACAGGGTAAAACCACTCTGTAGATACCCCACATTCCTAGAAAAAACTCTTAAGGTTGTTATAAGTCAGATATGACTTGAGGGCACATACATAACACATTGTCTGAACGCCTGTTGCTTAGTATAGTAAATAACAACTAGAGTAGGCATATTAAATCAGTGGGGATTTTGTGAGTCTGCTCCTCCATAAATTTCCATTGATGCAAACAGGCTAGTTGTGACTTACTACACTAAAGTTGCAACTAGAGTAGGTCTATTTGAATCAAGGAACTTAGAGAGTACTTGACTCACCAGATACTCTAGTGCAACTTACTAAACAACAGGATTTCATCCAGTATGTTGTGTATGTACATTGTTACAAACCTTTCAAAATGAAGGATGCAGTGCTCATTGTAACATTTCTAAAAATGACTACAGAACTCACGGGGTAATTATATTTAACCATAAATTCTCTCATTCCGAATATCCTTTCCACACAGGGATACATTCATGGTGACTTATACCTTAGGGCTATCATGTAGCTGGATGCAGTACTTTCTGCATCAAGCAGGGGGTTGGACTTGATGGCTTTATAGACTCCTTCCAACTTCACTCTATGTAATTGTCATGAACAGCAGCAGCAACAATGGAAAAAAAACAAAAACGTAACATTTACCAGAGATAAAATTCCACCAACCCTACATATACTGTTTTTAATTACTCTCAGGTTCAGCAATCCATTTAAAACTGACAAAATAAGGGATGGGAACGTCATCACTCATGTATGAATGTCATTTTAAATAAAATGTATGGAAACAGAACCCTTCAACTTCTCAAAAACAGATGCTCTCCATTCATTTTAAGAGCTACAGCACCCCTTTCCGGAGTCCTCGCACCCAAAACACAGCCCACCTCTCCCTCCCTCTCACCGTCTCCTTGCTCAGTCTCCCCCACAACACTCCCACCATCTTTCCACCTCTTCTCACCGGCAACAACACACGCTCCCCAATTTCGTCCCGGTTGTTATCCGTCCATAGACACACGTACGGATACAAAGAATGCATGCAAACACACACACACACACACACCATACATCTATGGTGTGCGTGTCTTTGCATGCATGCACAAAGAATGCATGCAAACACACACACACACCATACATCGATGGCGTGTGTGTGTTTGCATGCAGGCGTTCTTTGGGGGCGTCCATCCACCCGCAACCGGCTTTTCCTTCCCTCTCAAGCCCATTCCTCAGCCCTCGCACCCCTTCGCCTTTTGCAGAGTCACGTCCCAGGCCTGGGGCTTGGATGAGGGAGAGCCCGGTATCCCGTTTGGGCAAAGGAACGGAATGTCGTTACACGGAACGGGAGGGGAAGGATTCTGTGAAGCATTGGCCACCTTTCCTCCAAACGAGGACAGCGGGGAAACCCCCCGCCCGCCCACGGAGAGCCACTACTCTCGCCCGCAGCCGAGGCGAGACAAGCGCCCTCCCCGGAGCGACTCACCCGGTGTCTCTCTCTCCCTCTCCGCCTCCACTCGAGGGAGGCCAGCCCGGGGAAGCCGGGGCCGGAACTGGCCCCCCAAGCCTCGGCTACACGGAACCGGTAAGCATGACCCGAGCGGAAGGAGGCGGCGGGCTGGTGAGCTCACATCCTGGAGGGTGGAGGAAAACAATCCCCGGGCGAGCGAGCGAGCGAGCGAGGGGAGATGGTGGAGGGGGAGGAGTGACTGGTCGTGGGAAGAGGCCCTTCTGGCCTCTCCGGGTTTGGCTGCGGAGGGAGCCGGGGAAGCTTTTCGAAGGCAGCTCGCGGGCCAAGAGGCTTACGGAGCTCCTGCGAGTTGCTTCCTGGCCTTGCTTTCCGCCCCCAAACGAAAGCGGATTTCCTCAGAGGGCAGAGAATCGGCTGATGGGGGAGCATCCGGATCACATTTTAAAAATAGAAGGATGGCCGCTCCCCCGGGGCGGGAGGGGGGTTGAGAACGGCACTGGTGTTAGACGGCAGCTCTTGGATCAGGGTCTTAAGCCTCCTGAGGCAAAAGCAACGGCGGCCGATTATCATATCGGACCATAGAAAAATAAAAACACAGGCTTGCTTTTGACTTGTACTAGTTTTCATCAGGCTGTACACCAGAACATTGTGGATAACGCAGATATATATCTATAGATATGAAACCTCCCAAAGCCGTGGCAGATGTCCGTGCCAGGTCTCTTTTTTTAAAAGAGAATTTCAAACTGCAGCCTGCAAACGCGTCAGGAGTGTAGGTTCGGTGGCCCTTGGTTGGATGGTCAATCCGAACTCACAAAAGCAGGATTTTTCTAAATCTTAACTGTTTCTGTTTCTTCTGTATGTTTATTGTTAGCATTGCCAGTTTTCAAGGCATTGGCTGAACTCTCAATAAGTTTTGCTTTGCTCCCACGGATCTCTAGGCAGGGTGACACATCATTGAGCAGTAAGCCTAGAATGGGGAGTAAGTTTTATTTTTGTACTGTATTTCATGTGGCTGTAAAGCCTGGGCACCTATTTTTCTACATCCCCTGCTGCTGCCACCAGTGTTTATTGGCTAAGAACCATGGTTCTAGGAAGTGAGTTGTGCTTGTGTCATACGGCACGCTGGAAAGCCAGAAGGAAGGAGGAGGGCCTAGTATGCCAGCAAGTTATACATGGTGCAGCTGGGAGTGAGACAAGGAGCATAATGCCAGTGTTAGGGTTTGATAGCTATGTTTTAACACAGGTCCTGGCAACAGTGACTCAGGTTGGGGGCAACTTCCATAGACTGATGATGATTTTTCCAGAAGTTCCAACAGCACTGTGGAACTTGAAAAGCTCTCCCAGTTGGTAAAGCTACTGTATAAGCCATAGCAGGAATATGTGCAGCTGATGGATAATTTTTATTATCTGCTTGGATAGTGCAACATTTATCCAAATTATCATTTGGCCCTTTATAAAATTAGTTAGCCTAGAGACAGCTCCAGCTTCCTCCCAGCAATTGCCTGCCTGCTTCCTCTCCTATAGTATCACAATGGTTTGACCCATGGTCTCAGATTTCGGCCCTGTGGACCTGGTAACCCCATCAGAAACCATTCTTTCTCCATTTTAAGATGACTTTCCTCCCGTTTTTTTCCTTGCAGCAATCCTGGAAGGTGACTCAAACGGGGCATGAGTGATCCAGTTATGTTTCATAACGATTTTGAATTCAAACACCCTTTTTCTTGGTTGACGTCCAATGCAAGCTCGTATTTCCATTATACTGATGTGATGTATTTGCACCATCATTGCACCAGTTTCCTTAGCTAGCTTTGCCTTCAAAATTGTTCACACCACATTGTTTCAGAGAAAACTAAACTTGGCTGCTTCATAACGTTGTCTTCAGTTGTTCCTGTAGTTATTTTCTGTCCGAAGTAACACATGAAATGGGGTGATGATGTACAATTTTCACTCAGGCATTAGTTTCACATATTTTTATGCTAGCAGAAGCATTTCAAGCTTCTTATAAAAAAAAGATAGGAATAAATTTAGAAAAAAACTCTTCAGAATATGCTTCTGTTTTGCCACTATGCATGCGGGCTATGTAGGAAACATCACATCCTGAAATCAGAGGTTAACCAGTAAATCCGTATGATTGTACATCAAGGATTAATCTGTCTTCATATACTATATCTGATGTTGTAGACTCTAATCCACTCTAAAAGGTTGTGTCACAATGGCTGAAATCAGATTGCTTAGAGAGTAGTAAATTGCAACTAGAGTAGGCCCAGTGAATTAATGGAACTTACAGAAGAGCTGGTTTACAAAATCCCCACTGATTTAATGGGCTTATTCCAATGTTCCCTCCTATTTTCAGCCTTGTCAGGCGTGACTCTGCCCCCTGCATGGCATTCCGTCATGACCGGAACCAAAGGGACTGGAAACTATCCTGTGCATAGCAAGAAGGAGCCCTGTGTCGAGCTGCTTGCACTGCCGTGCACCTGAGAGGGAACCTTGGCCTACTCTAATTGCAGCTTAATGTTTCAATTTAAGGTGCCCCAAGAATATTGTTTTTGTATCATATGTGAGGCCTGTGATATGCCTATAGCCACCCAGATGTTTTTGCCTTCCAGTTCCTTTCAGTGCTACTCATTGTGAGTCAGTAATGAGACATAATGGGACTTGTAGTTCAGAATTTGGACAACCACAGGCTCTGCACCCCTGCCATGAATATGATGTGGAGTTAAAGGGGGGGAGAGGAACTAACTCTTTGATCAACTAACAAGTTTTCCATAAGAAGAAATGGCGGAAGGACTGAATAGCAAAATGCCCCCAAAATAGTAACACAGCCTCTGAACTGAACGTGTTTATCACCCATCTTTGTCCAGAGTCCTGACCAGACATTTTGTTTTGAAACAGTCTACAGAACCGAAAATTTTTGATTTTGGCCACAGGGTGACTCTATTTTCCTAACCAAACAAAAGCACTTGTATCTAGCCTGTTATATGTGCTTGTTTTTAGATCTGTTGACATTATTGTTGATTTTGTATGCCTTATGCCAATAAAGGTTTTATCTTAAATCTAAATCTGTACAGAAATTCTTAGCAAAGTATTTTGGAACAGTCATACCTAATTAAATTCAGAATAAATATCTGACATTAGTATGATCATTCTCAAATGGTATAATATGCATTTCAGAATCAGGGCTGGAACACATAGTATTCATAATGCATCCAGTTACCTTAAATATAACAAAGTGTACTCCTTTACTGGGACCAATATGGATACTTCCAGTTTAACTGTTACTTCACAGCCTCTTATTTCCTCCAAAATTGCAATGTATTTTGCAAAGGTAATTGATCTTTCCCTTTTATTAATGTAAATTCTATAAAATCTCCCCATATATCCTTAAAATGTTCTTATTCAACAATCATTTCTTTATCTTAATATCACATGTTAACTTATCATTGACTACTATATTCCAAATCTCATTATACATTTCAGCTATCTGAAAATCATACTTCAATACTTCGCTATCCTTTTTTTGCTATTGCTTGTCCTGCTGCTGCTAATAAAATGAAGATTATTCTTTTGTCAACCCATCACATTGAACATTGTCTAAGACAGACAATAGCTCACCACTATGTGGGGAATCCTCCATCCAGCCGCCATTTTCGCCGCCCGCTAAGCGAGGGCAGGGCACGAAAACGCTGCGGGCAGCCATTTTGTTGACCCAGTGGCCATTTTGGAACCGACGATCAGCTGTTTGTAAAACATCACAATGCTATGTTTTCCCTATCGAAAACATCGCAATGTGATCGCATTAGCGATCGCAAAAAACGCGTCGCTATGCGGATTCGTCGTTAAACGGTGCACTCGTTAAGCGAGGCACCACTGTATATGTAAGTACATTCCTACAGTTTGATTACATTTCCAACTACAGTGTAATTTTACTGGTGTTAAATACCATCTCTAAGTTATTTTCTAATAATTTTCCTTTATCCTTACAGAAAAACTGTTTAAAATTCTCTTACCCCATATATTTCTAATTTCTTAACACCATTGAATATTTCATAGTGCTGCTTGCTTCTGCACAAAGCATTTTAAGTGGACATACTGTATGTTCCAATTATTACAGAGAATCTGAGTTAACTTTATAGGTGAAATTGTTGGATTCTTTCTCCATGTTGCCCTACTAGTTTTTAAAGCCCTGAGGCAATTTTTCAAGTTTGTCTGAGTACCTGACTCTGAATTGCAGAGCAACCTGTATTTCTTGCCTTGGAAAAACTTCCTCTCATTACTTTTCAATAGCTAGCATACATGTATTTCTTACTTCCACTTTATGCGAATACAACAATTTAAAATGTTTTATTTCCCTTTGTGGTTTTAGGATAAAGCTGTAGCCAATAGAGTTTGAGCCTGCCTACACAACAGTGGAAGACCTTGTGCTCCTAAAGATAGACTTTTTACTCATCCACAGTGCCAGTATTGATGCCAGTGGAAGTTGTTCCATGACTGAATCTGCCTCTGGGATTCCAAGGAACATACCTCACCTGTGTAGCAAATTTTGCTTGGGGTTGCTGTTATAATACAGTGGAACCTCGACTTGAGAACGTCCCTACGTAAGAACGATTCGAGTTAAGAATGGCTCCATTTGCAAAAAGTTGCTTCGACTTGAGAATGGAGCCGCAACTTAAGAACCAAACAAAGAGGGGGGGACAAAAACTTTCCTGCCCCTTTTTTTTTTGACCTAAGTTCACCTTAGGTCAAAAGAAAAAGAAAAATTCACCCCCTAGTGGTAGATACGGATTAACTGGCTTTGCATTAGTTCCTACGGGAACCAATGCTTCGACTTAAGAACAGCACCTCGATTTAAGAACGAAAAACAGCAGATATGGATTAAATGGTTTTCAATGCGTTCCTATGGGAAATTGTTCTTTGACTTAAGAATGTTTCGACTTAAGAACGCAGTCCTAATACGGATTAAGTTCCTAAGTCGAGGTACCACTGTATTTTTTTTTCTCTGAGCAGTAGTGCTGTGTCCAGTCTGAAGATTAAAGAGAAACCACAATACTCTCTTGAAAGAATAGTTTGGCTGTGGTCCTGCATAACTCAACTGCTTATATATC